TATCCTATCCTATCCTATCCTATCCTATCCTATCCTATCCTATCCTATCCTATCCTTTCCTATCCTATCCTTTACCTACCTATCTCATTTGTACAAGATCACATGAACTGTAGATAAGTGCTACTGTAATAATGTGTCATCTATTATGGGAAAATGTATAGCCAGCATATGTATGTTCCTGAAAAAGAAGAATGCCTGTACATGACATCTGTGGGTTAGAGATGGTCAGTGTATTATTTGTGTCACTTGTCCAGCCCTTGCTTTCTTTTAAAAATAAATGTCTTAATGGTTGGGGAGAAAGAAACATGAAAATGTGGTGGACATGCTGCAAAGTTCTGGCCAGACCCTAAAAATAAATAAGCAAACAAATTAGCAACCTGTTTATTGCTGTTTTACTGTTGCACTAAAAAGAATCATACATAAATATAACCGTGAACATTAATATCACATTTTCAGCTATCCAAAATACTTTTCCTGTATTATTTTAGTAATTCCTATAAAGTGTGGGTTACAGTTCTCTGAATTTCCAGCCAGGAGCCCAAATCAACACTGGAGAATGCTGAACTCAGGAAACTAACCTACATATTTATACTTCATGGTGAGGCAGCATTGACTCACAGGCAGCCACAGGGTTCATAGTTGATGAAAGTTCTGATTCAGGCTCTGGACACTTTGCTCAAAGGCTCTTTAGATTTAGTTCTTTACAGTATCTTTCACTTTATCTGTTTCAGTATCTCAGGAGAACATTTCTATGAACCAAGGGTATTTTTGTTATGGTTTTATATTCCATATTTGGCATGTTTTAGTGTGCTTTCAGTATAGTATAGATCCATAAGCTGATATCACTTGATACAACTCTAACACCTTTGTATACTGGGCCACATGTTTTGTTTCATCATTTTGTGAGTTGGATTTTTCTCTTTTGTTGACCTGCATCAGTCACTGTGACTAATGATCTGATAACCTCTGAAGTTCATAATGTATTTCACTGGGATTTAACTAATATGTGAACCCAGTGATAAACTATTTGAGGGGTGGGGTGGGCATTAGCTGTCTTTCTATTGAGACAGGATCTTTCCTGGCTGACTTCACCATAATGCAGCCTAAGACCTAGCATACCCAGGCATGGCACAGTTTCAGTTTTGTTCCTAAAAACAAATAGTATGCAAAATTCTGGAAAAAAATACATTTTGATTATGTGCCATCAAGTTGGTGTCAACTCTTAGCCACATTAAGAAACCTTCTCCAGAAAGAACTGTCCTCAATCTGGCCCTCCAGGCCTTTCAACAGTACGCCCATTCCCACTGTAATTGAGTCCATCCACCTTGCTGCTGGTTGTCCTCTTCTCTTTCCTTTTGCCTTTCCCAGCAAAGGCAAGATTCTCATGAGAGCTGGGCCTTTGCACAATGTGTCCAAAATATGGTAATTGAGTCTGGTCATTTATGCCTCAAGTGAGAACTCTAGACTGATTTGTTCTACGATCCATTTCTTTTCTTGGCTATCCATGGTGTCTCCTGTCTCCTGTCACCAAAATACTACTAGTACTTTAAACTACTAATATTTTAGTAGGTTGATCATATGGAATAGTTTAAACAACACTGCTGATAATTATGATCACAGAGAAGGAAACATTCACTGTTAGGAAAAGAAATTATGTTTTGTAAACAGCTGTCCTGCTGTCTACAGCTGTTCACATGTGGTGCAATACATTTAGCGTGAATAATACTTCCTCAGACGTATGAATACACCACATCCACTATGTTACGTCACCTTTCTCTAGTTGATTTGACTAGAAATAGAAAAAAATTAAAAAGGAAACCGTTACATATATTTCTCTAATGTGTTCTTTCTTATCTGCAGGTAGTTTTGCATTCCTACCTATAAATATGTGTTTGTGTGTATGTGTATATACATGATGAAACGAAGTGGTAATGAGTTTAGAATGCTTTTCCTTAGTGCCTTCTGTGCTGCATTTCAGATGACTCTTTAATATGAGTCTCATTAATTAACTTTGGTTAGAAAATAGATGAATGAACAGAAGATAGAAATCATGGCCTGCGTCCATGGGAATAATACATTTGAAGTTGTGGCTTTCATAAGAATTATGCTTTGGGGTGCTTTTAGCCTAGGCTGAATGAACAGATATATTGTTTACAAATTGTTGAATTTAAATATTGTGATATAGTGTATCTGCATTTCATTTAACAGATGGGTCAAATTAAAACAAATATTTGCTCATTCAAATGTATTTCACATTTAATGTGAAATGTAAATGACAAACACAGAGCAAGATGTCTTGAGGAGTTTAGCAGTAATAAAAACAATTTATAGAGTCTTCTTCCCCCAGTTGTTAAAAGTGATAACTTCTATAAAGCAGAAATTAAATTCATAAATCTACTACTCAAGTAGAAGTATATGAGGCTTTAGTGCTACGCTTTGGTTCAATGTCTGAAAAATAATGAAAACAAATTGAAAACAGTTTAGAGTGGGGATGGCAGTGAAATGTTTTCTATGTGCTATTTAGAACCTAGTATTGAATTTCAGGATGAAAACAGAAAAGCACAAGATAAAATAATAAGCCTATGAAATAATAGCTCAAGAAACAACCCAGTAGTGAAGAATGTAATATTTGGTGTGAAATATTAACTGTAATATTTATGTGTTTTATTTATTAATTTATTGATCAAATTTATATGGCCTCCCATCTCACAAAAAGTGACTCTGGGTCATGTACAACAGTCCAATAAAACAATAAATATATAAATAGTCATTACATAAATCCATTATATAATAATGATTAAAAC